ATTTAATTATAAGTAGATGTATAAAGTTACGAATTTAGAGGTACTTAGGATAATCTAATGTAGTTTCATGTTACAATTTGAAATCACTGTAGAAAGAAAAAAAAGGCTAATTTCGATTTATTTATTTTGTGTGTGTGTGGTAACGAGGTCGGTCGAATTTAGCTATCCCCTTTTGAGATAGGGTAGAAAAAATAACATATAAAGTTTTACAGAAAAAAAAACGTTTGAAATGCATTTAGGAGGTTTTGGGGATTACACAAAGTAAATTTGAAATAAGGAAAAGTATTTTTAATTTTAACATGAAAATTACTTTGCAGGCGGACTATTGAAAACAAATACTCAATATATTCATGGACAAATCTTTATTTTATTTTATTAAAAATACTTCACTAAGAAATATGACTTTTTGTATGTGAAAGACTTGTAATATTAACTGAAAGTCTGCCAAATTTCGTGAAGATATACCTACTATATTGAGAGTTATAAGTATTAAATCTTTAATAATTAAACGAATATAAAAATGGTCACGTGGTCGGTCAGATTGACAGAGCCCGTATTGAGAGTGTAAATTAAAGAACATAGTCTATACATATACATAAAGCAAACAAAAATATATATTAATCGACTTTTTTTTTATCTTGCAGTTCTGGTCCATTTTTGGGTCTATTTTTCACAATTCACTTTTTATAATATACTTTCAGTTTTACATTTTTAATATTATTATTATTGTTAAATACATAAGTATTATTATATTAGAGATTTCTTCCTCGTTAGTCCTCGTTATTTGACTTTTATTTCTTGCAACATAATTTTCATATAAAAAACAGGAGCAATCGAACTTGATTTACAAATTTTCTCAATGATTAATAATACTTCTTGATCGGTTAGCGCCTTTTTACTTTAAAAACAACAACAGTTCTGATCTCACTTTGGGGCCATAGGTGAGTTATAAGAGTGACCATCAAATTCCACGATCAGATTCGAGTAGCTATGGAGTAGTGTTGACTAGCTGTCTTCCCTTTAGTCTTATTTCAAAATTATGAAATGCTAGCACAGATAGTCCTCGAATAACCATGCACGCAATTCAACAAAAAACAACAACCTTTTTTTGATCGTAATAGCACAGGTAAGAATTAACATATAGCAATATATATAACTATTCAATCAAAATTTACTTTAATTTATCCTATTTTTGTCTGTTAACATTCTACTACACTGTCTATTCTAGTATGTAGGGATGACGCATATGCAATCCCTACTATATTGTTTGCATTGTTTTTGAAAGATTAATATTAGCCATCCCTACATTTACTTCCTTTTTGAAAAGTTTTTTCTTTACTTGTAGTTTAATGAGTCTTTAAGTTAAAGGGGGCGATTTATTTTAAATTTCTCTTCATATAACTACAAGATAGAAAGATGTTTCCTTTAATAATTAATTCAACCCACACTGGTAGGGAAAATAAATATTGTATCACTTTTAAAGTTTATTTATGAAACATGGAAAGTATGGAGAAGTACAGTATTGAAATTAATTTATGCCGGTGTTATACTTGTGCATGGCTTGATTCGTCAATAAATCGCCCAGTTTGAGTAAAGGATTACAATGAAGTTTTACTTGTAAAATTCATCGGTAGGTTAGTTGATCATCACATAAGCGGAAACTGCGTTTCAACCTTATAGAGAAAAAACCGGAAGTACCTCCTTCATGTGGGCAGTTACGAATCATTACCACTGCGAAGTATGCTATGTAAGTACAATATTTTTCATCAAATGTTTAGTTTTAAAACTTATCTTGTTTTGCAATAAGTTGGTGTATCCAGTTTTGCTTTTTATTTTGTTCATGAACAAGTAAAACTCGTATATACTTCTCTATCACATTATTAAGAACATGTACTTAGATTCATTCTTTGTAACAAAGTTATTATTAATATCGGTTTTCAGAGATTATATTGTGACATGTTTTTTTTTTTGTTTAGTAAAATGAATGAAATGACAAAGCCAATACCCAAACAAATCGCAATCATGTTTATTATTTACGGAGTTGGGAATGTTTTTGTTGTATATTATTTTATAGCGCTGATACTAAGATTAATTAGAATTTTGCTTTCAACTTTATTTAGAGCTAATATAAATTCCAATGAAATATTTTAACACAAAATTTATATGCTTCAAAACTTTGTACACTCTGTGTATTGGTGTCAAAAATAAGCTGATAGTAATACATTATGCATAGGTAATATCCGTTTAAGTTTTATGTAGGTAGGTGTGAGCATTTAAGATGCGGCCTAATAAAATTTGAATCAAACATTCTTTGATCCAGCAAAACATTATTTTATAATAACATTAAATCACGATTGAACACATTACATTGTAATTCTTAAATGTTACCAATAAATATAAAAAAAATATATATATACGAAACAATGTTCAATCGTTATTTAGACTGGTCAACACCCTTAGAACTTTATGTCGCTGCTTGCTCCATCTAACGTTAGTTAGAGAAACATGTGATTTACTCCGATTAAAACGTGATTTTTTTGTAACATTTTAAAGATTTTTTTCAGTAAAAATTGTAAGATACTTATTGTCCATGAATTAAAAAATAAGTACTTGTCCATTAGCTCAATGCAATGGTAAGGTGTTTTTTAGTAAATAATAGATATGTGCATTTAATATAAATTATAACTTAAGTTATTGTGTAGGCTTAGCTTATCTTTTATATTATTTTAAGATATTTTGTTGTCGTACTTGTAATTTTTAGTTCAATTCGTAGTTTGCTCTTAAACTTAAAGTTGAAAAATAATTATATTTATAGGTACACAAACTTATAATTATACGTCTAACTGTTAGTATTACTATTAATTATAGTAATAGTGTATCTAGTACTAGTCGTAACACTGGGACAAGGAGTGTTACTGTTAAGTGTTAATACTGTTATGAAAAAATACAGAGTTATCAAAATTCAAATGCTGACTTATAAAATATAAGTGATTAACTTTATAATTTTATTAAGTGTACTCAGTATAGTTCTATTCTAGTAATAGTTTTGTGTAGCTATGCAGTTCTATCTGTACAGTAGTCACTCTGTCTGTAGTACTACTAGTAGTAGTATTATTACTAAGTGGTACATTTATAAATTAAAGGCTTTGTAAGGTTTAATTACATTAAATTTTCATTAAAATTCCAACAGAGTGTGGCATGATTTTTAAAGTATTTATTAAATCTTTACATTGTATATATTTGTTCTTTATTCACACATGTAAGTTGTAACCTTGTTGTATCTTTAAGTTATAATGCAAGGAGTCCTTTACATTTTTTTTATTCACTCTAAACATTATAATATTAAAAAATTATTTACAGTTTGGCAAGCCATTCTATAAATATAAGATGAACTCTAAAAGGAAAAAAAACTATGCCTAATACAAGCCTGAATGTCTGCTTCTATAACCTATGTTCTCTCATATTTGAATTTCAATTGCTAAAATAAAGCCTTATCTGGAGTATTTGCTCGATTTTGATCCTTATCAATATAACAAAAAATACTGATTTATTTACAAATGATAAGAAATGGGCTACCTAACTTAAAATACTTAAGTTAAAAGAGAAACCTTTGAATTTAGAATTTGTTTTCATTGGATCATAGAACTATAGTAGCCTGATACAGGAGTTTAAATTCATTAGAGACTTACATAAACTGCCCGTCAGAGGTTTTTTTGACTATTAGAAGAATAAGGTAGTATGGTACATTTCAAAATTACATATATACAGACAACAAAAAACCATTTGGCTTTCAAGGCTGTCAACATATCTACCTTTGAAAAAACAAAACAAACTTAAAGTGAAGTTAAACTTTCCTTTCATTGTTTGGAAAATAATTGATTCTTCTTTCAAACTTGTAAAGTACCAGCCTCTACTACTGCCAATGGCAACTCATTCCATAAGCTAATCACCCTGTTAGAAAAAGTAAAACTGTCTTTAAATGGAGCCTAAGCCTGTTATTTTCCAAATACTTAAATTTGTGCCCTTTCATCATGTTGTCTTCAGAATATAGCACAAAGAAATTAAAGGTATTTATCCTATCAATATCCCAGATAATTTTATAAATGAACTAAAGAAGATAAGAGATCTTAACCTAACCATACATGATAACTTTCCATCTCCAGAATCATTATGTTAGCTCTCATCTGAAACCTTTCCAATAAGTCTGTATCCTTTCTTAGATAAGGAAACCAAAAATATACATAATATTTCAAATGAGGCCTAGCTAGTGATTAAAAAATTGAAATGTATTTCACACACGTTTATAATACTTGCCTTTAATAAATTTTAAACAAAAGTTTAAGGAATTATAGTTTTATACTGGTTCCGTTGCAGCAAGTCATTAAGATAGCACACACCTGTATGTTTTTAGAGTATCTTATTCACTTATGAAGTTTTCAAAATAAAAATTTCCACCTGACAGAAGAAAAGGATGTGCATTCTTTAGGTGCTACAATATTTGAAATTCAATAAGAAAGAAGTGATAAAATTTCCATTGAAATTTAGTTGTTTTTTTGTAAAAACCTGGAGTTGACCTTTAGTATTAACAATATAAAGCTAAAAGTTAACCAAAAATTGCTTATTAGTTTTGGGCTGTGTGATATTAAAGCTATAATGTGACTTATAGGAAATACATATATCTGGAAAATAAGGTTTTATTAAAAATTTTAAAAATGATATAATAATGCATTCATATTTAAATTTTTGTTGTCTGTAAAATCATTGTGAAGCAAGATATTTCATCAGCACATTACTCAGAGTGGATTTGGATATAAACAGTGAGATTGAAATATATTGTATACTTAATACCACCAGTACTGCATCCAGCAACTGTTTCTCTGATTATTTCAGCTTCAACTGATAATGCATATTTGCTGACCTGTGTAGAACAAACATGACAGTGCACTCTGGGATTTAAATGTAACTTCATTGTGAATGGATCCATTATCAATTGGAGAGAGTGTTGTTTAAGTACTTTTAGTAATATAGTGTGTTTGTTTTGTATGTATACACAGTATATATGTTTAGAGTAAAAGTCATTAAGAATTCTGAAAGAAAATTGTGGAAGATGGACCAAAAAAAAGAGTATGAGATCACACTTGAAGATGTAGAACCAGAGAGAGGAGGTTTTTATTTAAAGTGCACAAGCTAGTAATGTTGCGAGTTAAACCTTAAGATTCATAAAAGTCACCTGTGGGGTATACATGCACTATTTGTGCTTTTTGCTACACTGATAAATTCAACTGCATTATTAGTTTTTAAATACTGAGTAACATACCAATGATAAAAGCCTGCATTGCCAAAAACAAAATACAAGGTGAGAGCATAATAAGTAAAAAGTAAATGAGAAAGAAAAGGAACTGTATAACTGAGTAACTATTTCCTTAACTTTCCTGTTGGGACATCCTGTTGTTGAGAAATTGATCATTATATTCCTATTACACTTAGTTTTCTTCATTTTTAGATGGAGTCAACTAAAACAGGGGATTCTGACTCTGGACACAATGGCGACTTGTATATCAGTCAGGCTGAGTCTGAAGTTGACCGGGATTCACCCACCTTGGAAACAGTTTCAGGTTTTTCTACTAGCTCTTCACCCTTACCTCCAGAACCATTTGAACCACGCTTCTGTGTCAAGTTTACAGGAGAGGCAACAAAAATGGAGATGTTGTAAAATACACTATTAAAACTTGGAGAGTAAGTTGAGATGCTACTTTATTGGTATAAAAAAAGATTTTCTAAATTTAACCTTTCATGGATGCCAACAACATATTGAAGTTTAAGGCAGTGTTTATAATTCTTTCTCATCTATGTCTGAGAAAGATATTTATTACTAACATTTGTCTTTTATGGTTGACAAGGTTATTTTAAGATGAAGAGAGTTCTTTGCTCTCTGTCCTAAAAACTGCTTTTTATTTATTTTAGCCATTCTTGATGGACAACATTATTGTGATTATCAAATGAGTATGTTTCTTTCTTTTATTATGGAAACTATTTATTATAGCCTTTCTGGGTGGACAACAGTATTTTGATATGAGAAATAAAGGTGTGGGTGGGCAATATAACTCAATATATGTCAAGCTATTTTAATATAACTGCTGTTTTTTCATATAAAGCTCCTTATTTAATGTGATGTCATTGCTTCAACTAATTGGTTAAGTTTGAGATGTTGCTACCTTTAACAAATTTTACATAGTTTGTTCAATAACAGTTCCTTTAAAACCAAAGAAAGGTCACACTTTGTTTTCTTGGGTATTAGTTGGCCTTCATCTTCCATATCAAACAAAGAAACCACTAAACGTTGATCTCCATCACCATGCTTGTAGTCATCATTAAAGTTTTTACTTACCAAATTAAGACGTGTACTGCTTGGGCAAGTCTTTGTCATATTAATCAGGGGTTTAATATGAACTAATGTTTTAACAGTTAAATCAGCTTATGACTTACTGATTTTCATGTTGTGATATTCTCAGGTACACAGATTTACCTTTTAGGTAGTGTCAATAAATAATAAATGTCCCAGAAAGTTTACTTCAGAATATTCCTGAATTCTGATTTTGAATTATGTTTGAAGCAAGAAAGAGACCGAGCACAATGTAACAAAGTGAAAAGTAATTTTTATTAACATAAACAATCAAAGTGGATGAACACACTGAACTAGTGACAGCACTTTTTCTTGATGTAAAGACTAACTCTAACTTTCAGAGCTTGTTGAGTCTTTGTCAAGTTGGTTAAAAATGTGTTTCAGACTATAAGAGCAAAGCATTATATACAAACTTTTATGATGCCATCCTTCTTAGGATCCATGCTTTTCTCACTTCATTGTTAGTCATTCTAATTATAAATAAGATAGACAGAGTCTACCTAACCTATCGGTAGAAAAGATTATTGTACACCTTTACATAATGTATTCAACTTTATAACTGCTTTTCTCTTGAGAAAGTGCATGTGATATCATAGAGGGAAAATTAAATCGAATAATAAGTAACTAGAGTGAAAGGAACTTGTCACATTCCTTGATCAATATTCTATTGTTAAAACTTCACAAATGTTACTTGTATGTGTGTGAAAAAGTATGAAAATTCTTTGTAACATTGAAGCATTCTCCTTATTAACTAAAGAAAGCAAAAAGATCATAGATACATTTCATACCAAATATTTCTACCCTTCACCATCAGACCATCCTGATAAACCCTAACTTTAAGATACAATAAAATCTGTGCATTGGTCATGAAACTGGTTTTTGTCCCTGTGAAACACTTTCACATCACAACACATAGATAGATAAAGCTGGGTGGTTAGTGGTGTTCGCTAATTAAATGTTGGCATCATTAAACAATTACATTGGAATAATCAATTAGTACAAACAAAAATAAAGGTTGGAGATGGTTAATGCCAGACAGTTGCCATCCCTCTAGTCAGAAGTTCAAAAAGAGAAAAAAAAAGTTGGTGATGGGTGCTGCCAAACTGCTTTCCTTCTATTCAACAGTTAAAAATTAATCACAGTGGCAGATAGCAGGATGAACTCTTTTGGTAGCAATATTTCAATTACTTAGATAGTTGGAACAATGAAAATTTGTAATAATTGTAAACCCTCATTTGGATTAGTTGGTTATTTTTGTGATCTTATTTAATCATAATTTTGAGTAATCAACTGTTGGAATAACTGGAAACACTAACTTCCATTAGTTGATTATTTTCCTAACAGTCAATACAATCAAAATTTTGATCAATTGATTACTGGAATAAAGGAAAATGGTAATAATCAGAAATACTATCTCAGAAATGCTACTCACCTCTCTGCACCACTAAGTACTATTACCTTGTGCTCAACTGCCATGGAATTCCCTGTGCATGTCACTAGCTATGAATAGACTCCCAACCCTACACGTGTATTGCACTAGCCTAACATTTAATTGTTACTTTCCATGTCCATTAATCCCTATAAGCACTAGCACATGATCATAGACACATTCTTTTCTTGGCAGTGCCTGTTTCCAAACATGTTTCTTTTTTCATGTGCTTTTTTAACTTCTAGATGTATTGACTGCCTTTCTTTCTTTAGTGCTACATTCCACTTGCTCTGGTTGCAACGTTGTTTTCCATATACACTGCATTTCTGCTTTAGTCTTCTTTCAAAGTGTGCCAAGTAAAATATAAAACAAGTGTCCTGAGGCCCAGATGTTTTTTTTTTCTTCTGGTATTTTCTCCAACTGACTGAATAGTAACTGAAGGCACTTTAATCTGTTCATGGACCTGGTATTCAGTTGTTATCACTTTAGCTCGCATAATAAAGCACTTGCCTGTATATAATAGGTCTCAGATTTCATCCTGTGTTAAGGTACTGTTGACATCATGAATAACTTAACTTTTACTACCTCATTGAACCGTGGTGTAATTCTATTCTTTCCTTCATTTTCCTTCTCACTGGTACGTCTTTCTGCCATGCTACCCATCTTTGGACCAATTTTGCATTTTGTTGGCAAATGTTCAACATTTTTAGCTTTTGATTATTTACTTGTGATTGGAGGTAGTAAAAGCTCCTTCATTATCACCAGACGAAAATCATGAAGTGTCACATTGTTTCCAGAATATTTAGTATACAAATTAAAGGAATTTAGCAGATTAATTTGTAGTATATGAACAGAAATTGTCTTAAACCACCTTCTGGGTTTTCTCGAGCAAGCATAATATGATAATGTATGATCTTGCCTGTCGATTTCACCTGCATGGAAATATGAAGTATGACACCTATACTTAATGCTCATAGCCACACAGCATACTGCTGTCAATGTTTCTTTCAAACAGCACATGCGATTTAATGTTAAAAGCTTACAGGGGTTTCAACAGTGAACATGTTAACAAAGATACTCATCACTTAATATCAGACCTAAAATGCAATATAAGTACAACTGTCTGACAAAAAAAAAAGAATATCCATCAGTTAAGATACAAATCACATTTCCTCTTGTTTTTTATTGTTATACTTTTGTCCTATTTTTTTAATCACATATATGTGCATCACGTGGAAATAGTAACTGATCAATTATTGATAAAAGGAGTAACATTACACTTGAACTTGGAGCATTTCATAACTAACATTTTTGATGGCACCATTAATCAGTTGCATTGGATTAATCAATTAGTACAGTGTTCCTTAAACTATGGTATAACTTTACACACTCAAACTAGGAGCACTTCAAGATTATTGATTTATTGTTGAGAAAATAACAGTATACATGATATTTTAGTTAAGCACAAATCACTTGATGATGGGAATGAGAAATGAGTTGCCCATAAGTAGATGATGATATTTTGTAGTTGTTCAAACCTATTGATGGGAATGATAACTAATAAGTTATCGATGAGAAAAGGTAGAGTCACATGTAATGTATATATAAAAAAAAATAAAGATGGAAAGAGATAATAACAGAACAATATTCACCTACCAAAAATTAGATGCATACTGGGATTTTGAAAACAGATTATCTGGGGCATTGGTTGATTTATAGTTGGCAGTGGTGGTCTGCTGAATAATCTGCTTGATCTTTACCATGGTCATCTTTGTATAAACTCAGTAAGAGCACAAGAGGGCAATATTTGTTTACCAAAGATTAGCTGCCTACCGAGATTTTGAAAACAGGTTATCTGGGGCATCAGTTGATTTATAGTTGGCAGTGGTGGTCTGCTGAATAATCTGCTTGATCCTCACCACAGTCTCACTCATTTGTGCACTCTCAGCCCTTCAAGTTTCTGCACTTCCTCCTCCATTAGATGGTAGATTCTGAATCATCATTTACAAGATCTCTTCCTTCTTGTAGAGGGACCAACATTCTCTCCACCTTGTTTATTGGGCGTGACATTATTGTTTGAGAATGAAATATTTAGGTGTTTGATGTTGGGAAATTGATGTTGATGTTATTGTTGGTAAAGCTCCAGCCTGATGTTAGTGGCTGCTTCTGACAGTGTGTGGGTGTTGGTTTAGTAGCTGTTGTGGTGGATGCTTTCTGATATTAATAGCTTGGCTACCTACAAGACACTGTGATTGCTTGAACTGACAGAGTTTGGTCTTCATTATTCTTGGATGGCTTTCATCTCGATATTAGTCTGGTCAAGTTTTCTTTCGTTTTTAGGATAAAAAGGTCATTTTGAAGGTGAATACATGTTGGGCATTGTTGATTTTTGATAAACCTAAAATGTCTATTGGGACACATCATTGACCACTTCTAATGTCCAGTATCTCTGTTGGCTCATATTTGATGGTTACTATATTCAGCATTGGGGTTATCATCTACAGCTGGGCAGGTGAACTTGCTGTTGAGTGTTGATGATATATCTTTTGGCAGTTTGGTAACTAGAAGGAATTGTGGTCAGTTTATCTCTGAACACTCAAGAGATGACATATTTGTCACTTCCACAAAAGCCTGTATGTCTGAGTTGTTTAACAACTTATCTTCATCCCAAGGAATTTAACTTAAAAAATTTCATCTTTTTAGTTGGCTTTCCCAATGGGGAATGTGTGGTCCATCTGTGTTCCTTTAGTTATGACCAATGAAAGTGAACATATTGCATGGATTAGATAAAAAATAATAATTCATGAGGAAATACAACTTTACATGAGGGAATGTTATCTTCCTAATAACTTTCCCTAGAATGAAAGTAATTTTATTTCATTATTTCTATCTCTGGAGGTTAGTACAAGGAATTTTGGGGATCACAGAATACGTCTAGAAGTTTCTTAGACCACAAATAAAAAAGTTCTTGGAGTAGTTTCTCGTTTCATGGCAGTGTGTTACAAGAGTAATTGTGCACTGATGAATAAAGCAACACAATTGCTTAATAAAGTGTACAAGGTAACAAGAAGAGACATTATCTAGATCTTATATAAAAAATGTATGAATTAAAATGTATGTGATCAACTGCACTTTGATTGATCAGAAGTTTAGCTAAACTTCTAGGTTTCAAAGTTGTAATGGCTCAATTGCAACAATTATCTGTTCAAAAACTTGCACTAATCAAGCGTAATTTTTAGAGGCCTATATGTGCTTGCATGAATATTTCCTGTAGTAAATGAAACCTTTGCACCTGTGATTGTTCCAATCCATCAGGCTTCATTTTGTCTCACGTTCAACCAACACTCGCCTATTTGTGACCCGTCAATAATCCTTCCACTGTTGTGTGGTTATGTGAATAGAGCCCGAGTCTAGTGAGAAAGAAAAGCAATCAAAACTAAGTATTGGGTCCTACACAAGTAACTGAAGGAGGCTCTAACTTCTAACCATGAAAATTCATTAGCACAGACACCTCACCATTAGACTTCTTACAGATGCAAGTTTAGTGCAGACCAAGAACAACTTTGAAGCAATACTGTTTGAATATCACTTTGCCTCTGGTTGTACACTCACAGTTAGCATTATTGTGTATTATTTCAATTGCATCTTGTACTCAGGAGTGTCAAGAGCCAGTACGGGCCCTTGGGCAAACATTTTTGGTAAGCCCCTTTTATCTCTTTTTTGAACATTTTTAAGAACTTATTAAAAAGAAGATCCTAAATTAGGACAGCTGATAAACAAGGCAAAATCATAGCAGAAGCTTTTTAGCTCACAGTATAAGCATACAAACATTAATAAAGTAACAACAAATATCTGTAACATATAAAGTAACAACAAATACCATTGATATTTCAGGCATGACATTGTTAATATCAGCCATCTTAATCGTGTAGTCTTCTAGCATATATTGTTCGATTCCTGTAGATCTCTCTCAGTGGAATTGCTTGATAGCTTAGAAAGTAAGGTTTGCAATACTCCTAATGAACATCGTCATTTGTGCAGACTGTTTATATTTTGAGCGTGACATCTGGTAATATCAGTCATCCTAATTGTGTAGTCTTCTAGAATATATTGTTCAATTCCTGTAGATCTCATCAAACTCTGCTTGGTAGCTTAGAAAGTAAGGTTTACAATATTCTCTTGGTATTATTAATCTTACGACTAAACCATCTTAACTTGGTAATAATTGAGTGCCACTTCTTTATTTGGTGTAGTTTGTTGGTATGGATTGACAAAAAGTCATGACATCTAATCAAAAACACCTTAGGTGTGGAAAAAGGTCTGGCCATAAAAGGATTGTGTGTGCAACTTGAATGAAACCAAAACTGGTAGCTGCACTTATAGCATTGATATGAATTTTACAGAAATATCCATTAGTTAGTTTGTATTTTGTTTTGCTCACCATCATGCCCGATTTGATTTTATTACTTATCAGGATCTCTATCAGCCTACCCTCAAATTAAAACTCTTTTTAAGCAGGATTAGAGTAAATTAACTTATGAGACCTTGGGAGTGGTCAAATACATCAATCAAAAGGGTTTGACCTCCTGAGTCCAAAACTGTACTTATATCTGAAATTGGTCAAGAGATGACAGAGCTCTGAGCCAAAAGTTTGTACTTGGAAAAACTCAGAGCCATCTTATGAGCCGCTATGCCACAGCTAAAAAATGATACGACACATCTTCGTGCACTCACAGTTGCTCACACAAGTTACATTTATCCACACTACATTCCTCGGACTGTGTTGGCTGTATGGAAAGAATGCTCATACTAGATCTGGGTCCTTCAGTTGATCTTACTTGGGCTCCTGGAGGATTTAATTAGGGTATCCGAAGGTTAGTAGAATCTCCTACTGTATTGTTCAATGTAATTGTTTTAGAAATGGCTTTAACTTTCACAAAAGGTTTAGAATTGGGACATTCAACAATAAGAAATAATTTCACCATTTAGTGAGATAATCCTTTAGCATTCTACTCTGTTAGGCACTGCTCCACCTAAAACTGGAATCAGTTTTGGTGAGAGCAGATAAAGATATGCAATATTGGAGAAGTTGGCCACAAAACATTGATAATATGATTCACAACAAAGGAGACTGCAGAGCTTTTGCTTGGTCAAGGGTTAAGGCCAATCTTACATTGTTGTTGTCTTCACAGAGTCTGAAGAGAAATAATTTTTACCCCCAGTATTACAAAGGAATTCCATCTAAGTTAGAAGCAAAAAAAAAGAAAGAAAACAATATAAACAAAGTGAGAAATGGTCTTTATTGACATAAACAATCAAGTTGGACTAGTGCACTGGACAGAAGCAGCACTTTATCTGGAAATAAAGACTAGTTAACCTTAAAGCATGTTATGAACTTGTTTCAGAGTAAGAGAGCAAAGCATTATTTACAAGATCATATAAAGCCATCCCTGTAAATGTGCTACCTATATCACTCATTGCTACAGGAAATGAGGTAGACACATCCTCAAGGTATCACCTGACCTACCAATTGAAAAAATTGCCATCCAACTTTACATTGTGTACTCTACTTTAAAACTATCTTTCCCATGAGAAAGCACACCTACCATAGAAAATGACTCAGAAGAAAAGTTAGCTAGAGATAATGAAATATTGCTTGACTAAAATTCTACTGATAAAGCTATGCAAATGTGTGTATGTGAAAGTTGAAATGTTTACCATACTAACTAAAGAAAGCAACTTATTACTAAATATGCATTTGTGTATATAATACTTATATTTTAAATATGAGAAAAATACCAGAATATTATTCACTCACTCACACACACACATTTAAACAATAATTCAACTTTGATATTTATTTCCCAAACTAAGTAGGGGTTCTTTCCTCTCTGTCCTCTAGGAGGGCCCAATATATAAGTTTAGAAAATGTAGAATTGATATTTATTTTGTATAGTCTGTTGTATGTCACTGATAATATTCATGTATATCAGTAGATACAGCCCAAAGGACTCCTAAATAGGGAGGCCCGGCATGGCCAGGTGGTTAGGGCGCTTGACTTGCTATCTGAGGGTTGCGGGTTCATACCCTCCGTCCCACCAAACATGCTCGCCCTTTCAGTTGTGGGGGCATTGTTATGCGATGATCAATCCTAGTATTCATTGGTAAAAGAGTAGCCCAAGAGTTGGTGGTGGGTTGTGATAACTATCTGCTTTCCTTCTTTTAATCTTTCACTGCTAAATTAGGGTCAAGTAGCACAGATAGCTCTTGTGTGACTTTGCGGGAAATTCCAAACAAACCTAAATGGGGGTTCAAATCTGAAAATTCCTAAAATCTAAATGTAGAATATCGTTTTAAATTGCTCTGTATGTGCTAATATAGCCTTTCAAGCAAATCAAATCTGTCAAACCTGAGAACCTCAATGTTTGAGGCTAATATAATTTCTCTGGCTAACTGTGTTTTGTTAAGATTCTGTGGAGTTCAAGAGTTTACATGAACAATTTTAAGTAATTTTGTCAAGACATTTGTAGTACGTTAAAATTCGTGTAAATAAAGATACATCCATAGGGAAAAAAGGAGAATCACTACATAGATGCACTTGTGTTTTCTCATTTTGTTTTAAAATTAACTAATTACTTTATGAAGCTATAAGACCACTGACATTAAGTGTTTGGATTTGAGTATAATACAATCAAGTGAGAAGAATGTTGAATTTTGATATCTTCAAACAAGATGCAGTAATATTTAAAACAAGTCTAATTATTGTAAATTAATTTGGAAGAATTATTTTGGTTATTACAATATAAAGATGTCAAATCTATGTTACAGAGAAATGACGAAAAGACTGAATTTGTCGTGGAACGCCAGTATGAAGACATTGAATGGCTCGAGCATTGTCTTATTACTTCTAACCCAATTCCTGGCTTAATTGTAAGTAAATATATATGTATACTTATCGTGTTTTTAGTTTCTTCTGGTCAGTTGTATGTTGTACTTTATGTCAGTTGAAGATGTTTCAGTGCAGGATTTGAATTATAATGAGGCTTGCCATGGTGAGGATACTCAAGTTTCAGGAAAGCTTATAGATTTTAAGTGCTTGAAGATGCAGTTGAAGTATCTAGTAATGCTTTAATTTTAGTCGTGAAGGGATAACCCTTAATTTTTCTGGTCTAGGATATTTGTGTGTTACATGTGAAAGTTTTCAACACACCAACCCCTCACAAAATGTTGGGTGGAGACAACTTACCTCTCATATTTCCCATGCATGTAGTCCTGTAATAGCTGTTATTGTTTTATGTGAATTCTTGAGATATTAATCTTCACTGTATATATTTTAGATACCCCCCCCCTCCTAAACCTACTTTCATGTGTTTTCTGGTCTAGGATATTTCTGGTTAATGGGAGACAACTGAACTCCCTCATATCTCCCATACACATAACCTAAACCTACTTTCATGTGTTTTCTGGTCTAGGATATTTCTGGTTAATGGGAGACAACTGAACTCCCTCATATTTCCCATACACATAACCTAAACCTACTTTCATGTGTTTTCTGGTCTAGGATATTTCTGGTTAATGGGAGACAA